AGGGCACTCGAGGCCCGTTTACTGAGTACGATCCGTACGAAGTGATAAGGTTTTTACTATTTGCCGTCAGCTCATGAACTTTCTGTCATCCGACGGCCAGTTGCAGGCCTACATCCATGGCTAACGTGAAAAGTTATCTTGTGTTATATGCGTTGTACAAATACGTAAAATATAGAAAATTGAGATACATACCATCTCGTTTTTGCTGCGAGGATATGCAGGAGTTAACCTACAGCATAACAAGTCCGGGTATGCTTTTATGCAATAAGCCGATAAACGAGCAGACGGATCACCTGACGGTAAGCGATCGGCGCCGCCCATGGACACCTGAAACACCAGAAGCTTTATAAGTGCGTTACCGGCCTTTTGGGGATTAGCAATTTGAGCTTGTATTTTGTTCTTGTCAGTTTTTAGACTCCCATTTACGTCATCAGACTTATTGAAGAAAAAGGTGACCATTTTGCAAATACTTAATTCCGTTATACTTCAAAAAGTAAAGGTTAAGTTCTCAATGAATTCGGTGTTGCGGAGAACCTAACGGGTAACCGGGGCTCCGGCTCGACGTGCAGGAGAAGGAACGGGGTGGTTGTTAGTCAGTAAGAGTCTAACACTCCCTCCCGCCTCACCCAGGCGGGAGCAGTCAATCGATGATTTTCCCCACTATAAAAAAAAAGTTCTCAATGAAGTTTTCCAAGACAGAAAATTCAATGTACGAGTTATTTTTTCGAATCTACTTTCAATGTGTTGCAATGTTTAGATATAACCTGCAGATATAGCGACCGAAATCCTTGCGAAGTAAATAAGCTAATTAATATTGTTCAAGATGAAACAGTGTTCACAACACGGTCAGCACAGAGCATTATAAATCCACTTAGAGATAATGCCTTGCAAATCTATTCAGCACACGACATTGTTTATTATTGTCTTAATTATCCTCTTTTATTAGCTTCAACAATATGCATCTCTTTTTCTTTACTATCACAAGATTTGTTGAAAAACACTGTAGTAAATTTTAAAATAAGTGATTAAAAAACTACTTTACTTACGAAGCTGTATTTTGCTTATCCGTATTCTTTGAAGTCGTTACCATATCTTATCTTTAACATAATATATTATTTAAAATGAAAATTAAATGGATCTTATCCAAGCTAAAAGGTTTGCAATCTTTACATTATTACACAAATTCCTGCGTCTTAGGAATAAATATGAATCCTAAACTAGGCTCATTTTAAATCAGCATTTTTATACAGAATCTTATTAAATAAAACAATAAAATTCCTAACCCAAAATTACTAACGGGTAACCGTGGCTCCGGCTCGACGTGCAGGAGAAGGAACGGAGTGGTTTTTAGTCAGTAAGAGTCTGACACTCCCTCCCGCCTCACCCAGGCGGGAGCAGCCATTCGATGATTTTGGCTCGGCCAACGAGACAGCAGACTAAATTTTTAATATATTTTTAGTTCTTATTGAAATTCTGTTTATTTAACGTACAGTATACAAAATGTGTGAGGCTATAAAAGCTTTCCTTAAACATTAGTGTAAAAATGATAAATGGGGTTATCCAATCCGCACTGGGCTTTAGTTTATCGTTCATAACCTCACTCAAATCTAAGGCCCAAATCCCAATAGTGGAAACGGGAACTGAAGAACAAGTCGTTTTTGCAATGCTTCTCCCCTGAGCGTTTTTTTTTTAAACGTTGTCCCACACTAGGATTTTGTCCTGTGTCGTGGGTGCGTTTACAAACATACAATTTCACATACACACACACCCAGACCCGAAACAACAATTTATGGATCACACAAAGTGTTGTTCCGTGCGGGAATCGAACCCGCGACACGTTGGACGGCAGTCGGTTGCCCAGCCACCGCTCCAACCGTGCAGTCAAAGTCGCAGTCAGTTTTGTGGAACGGCTTCTCTGTACATTATTTTTTTGCTAACTACAATTTAAAGTTGAATGCACAACGACATTGCTTGTAGGAGTTGTTTTAACTGTGTTACCGAGTTTTGGTACAGCTCGAGTCACACTGTTCTGGTTACAGTTACTAGAGGTTAACTTTGGTACGTTTGTGACAAAATAGGAACTGTTGCAGTTTAAATGTAGTTTTTTTTTTGCAACTAGAAGAACCATTTTGCGGTTTCGATTTCAAAATAGCAGTTTTATTAAACTTTTTTGCTCACTTAGGGATTGATCGTCTTATTTATTGCTTAATGATGAAAAAAGTAATAAATAAGAATCAATGTAACCCAATATGGTGACTGACTGTCTCGTTGGCTGAGTGGTCGCACAAGTGCGATTGCTGGGCAAGGGATCGCTTTCCGAGTCGGGCAAAATATTACTGGGTTTTTAAAAAATCTCAGTAGTAGCACGGAGTCTGGAATTGTGTCCGGTATATGGCAATAGGCTCACCCCCTATTACATGGGACTCATAACATAAATAGTGAAAAGTTGGTATTACATTGTGTAGTGGCATTAAGTGCCGTAATATGCACTTCTGCCCACTCCCTCGGGGATAAAAGGCGTGATGTTATGTAATCCACTAATACCACTTTGTTTGAAACAGCATTCACCACTGTCCAACTAAAATAGCGTGTGACAACACAAGTGTCACCTTCCTTGACACCTATTCCTATTCTATTTGAAGTCACCCTCTTTAACTGCGTTGTAATCAATTCTTCTTACCATCCCCCCCATAATCGATGGCACTGCAATTTTCACATTAACATTGATGGCCTTCGTAAATGCCATGAGCTTAATGTAGGCGTTCTCAAGGGAGTGCATGTGAACCAAGACACACTTCCCATACGTGGATTGCTTTTTATTCCCATCAAAGAAATTGTATAATAAAGTCATCATCAATTATTTGATCGATTCCAAGGATCCGTAATGTGGTTTTGCCATTATCAGGGTCAAAATCGTTTTTGCTCGTGTAAAGTTTACAGTGGTACAGACAGAGTGGAATACATTTTCGTCACCAGATTTATCCATCCCGCGGGTGATTAATTTCACGGGTGACCGTTTTTAATAAGCTGAAAACTAAGATAGGTGATACTTGATAACATTTTGATTTCACGACCCTAATAAGTGATGCCTGGTAGAAGGAGAAGAGTTTAGATCAGAGTGCCAAGCACGAACTACTATCGCATTCGTAACGTAATAGTATCGAGCGCGTTCGGCGCTTTGATTGGCCGGCACCAATGAATCAACCAATCAGAACGGCGAATGCGCTCGATACTATAACGTTACGAATGCGATAGTAATTCTTGCTTGACACTCTGGTGCTTTCTCATGCTTAGTAACTTTTAGTTAAAGGGTGGTTTAGGGGTAGTTTATGAAAAAAGCCGTAACGCTACTATCACAATTGGATACATGCCAACTAGTCAAATTCAATAATTATTTCGAACTGTCAAAAAACAATTTTCTATGAATTTCGTATGAGATTGTGTATTGTTATTGCCGTGGTTTTCCCAGTGGGCTACAACATGAGGTTCGTCAAGAGGGTAGTGAATAGGTTTCTTATGGGTCGGCAAGACGCATGTAATACCCCAAGTGTTGCAGGCGTACATAGGCCACGGTAACCGCTTACCATCAGGTGGACCGTGTGCTTTTTTGCCACCGTCGTGGTATAAAAAAAAACTGTGACGTCACGTTTTTTAGCGTCAAACAAGATACTTTTTTGTAAAAATTTGCTGGAAAATTACTAAAATTAAGTTAGTCATAAAATCAATTAATGAAAGTGTAATTACATTTTAATATTTTATTGTATTGAACAGTCGGAATAATTTGTTTTGATTAAGGCAAGTACTCAATCAAGGTAATTTTTAGGCTACTGTCATCCAAGTCATCTTCTCTTCTTATCGAATCAGTTGCGATACCAAACTTATTAAAAAGAGGTCAATAAAAACAAAAAGTCTCGTGTACCATGCCTCTTCAGTGACGCAAATACAATAGACCTCATTAAAAACTACTATTTTGCCCAAATTACGACTAAAGCTTTTAGAAAATCGCCCACAATTTTATGACAGGCCTCAAATGGTATACATAGACCTCCCTCTGACCTTTTGTTTAGATTATATTCACATTTTAATTCCATCAACGTTGTCTTCAAAGTGTCCACTTAGACAAATAAGCCTGTCATACAAATTCTCTTGAGAACTGCTATCAATTTGAATGAAAGTGGTCTAGCAGTATTCGCATCATTAGGGTGTGCTTGTAGAAGTATACAGAGCGGATATGAATGGGGCCGTCGGTAGAGGGTGTCCTAGACGGACGTATACTGGCCAGATTGCAATATATCAAAGAAGGGCCAAATTAAAAGTGCGCTTAACCGACGAGCATGCATGAATAGATTGATGACTGTTGATGAAGCGAAAGAGGTATGTAGGAATCGTAGTAATTGGCGTTCCATAGGCTCTGCCTACCCCCAGACAGGCATGAAGTTATGTATGTATGTCTACTCGTCTGGTCTACTTATCTATTTTAGGGTCCATGGAGATTGGGAAAATATGTAGATTAAGTTTGAAAAAAAATGTAATCTAGAAACAATAATGGAAGCTGAAAATCATCCCCTAAATTTGTTCATACAAAAGTAGTCTCTAATCATTGGAAATAAGGTCTATAATGTAATTAGTGGAGAGCAGTCACCGGTGACCGCTTGGGGATATACGGGTTAATGCAAGTTAGAAGTGATTTTTACCAAGGGTTCTTTCTTATTGCTATTAGGAAAGCCAAATTCCCAAAAAATATAAAGTATAAAGCTTCACTCATGAACTTATCTACCTCATACAATGTAAAAAGAACTTCTTCAATAACATAACATCACGCCTGTTATCCCCGAAGGCGTAGGCAGAGGTGCACATTACGGCACTTAATGCCACTGTACAATGTAACACCTACTTTTCACTATTTATGTTATAAGTACCATCTAATAGAGGATGAGCCCTGTTGCCTATATAATATCTTCAATCTAACGTTCTTTTTATTTGCAGAATAAAGAAGCAGTATGCTGCTTCCCAAAGAGCTGAAGTATGCGGCCATTGCTGGCGGGGTGGCGATATTTGGTCTCATCTTCGGATGGGTGCTGTTTCCCACTATTTTGAAGAGCCAACTGAAAAAGGTATAAAATGAGTTTTTTTTATATTTAATGGGCCGACGTTTGACCACTATCTCGCCTGGTGGTAAGCAATTGCGGTCTACTATGGAGCACGTCGACCCATAAGAAGGCCCGAGTGTAGTCACTCGGACCTTCAAATACAGAATCTGGCAAAGAATTCCACTTCTTAGCAGTAAGCACAAGGATGATGCGAAGCGCTTCGTGCGTGTGGGTGGGACATCTACCGTGAATCGGTGAAGCCGATTATCTTGTGTTACGAGGATGGAAAGGGCTAGGGGGAATCAACTTGCGCAATTCCCTCGCACACTCACTGAAATGAAAGAAAGATGAGATAAAGAGTATTTATTTTGTGTAATTACAATGAAAACCAGTTATCTACTATACAAAAATAAGTCGGGTTTTCCTTCCTGACGCTATAACTCTAGAACGCACGAACCGATTTCCACGGTTTTGCATTCGTTGGAAAGGTCTCGGGTCGGTGAGGTTTATAGCAAAGAAAATTCACTAATCACTAAACGAAATGTTACATAAAACGAAGCCATCTGGTGGCGAAACAGAGTTCGCCGGGTTTGCTAGTGTATTATAAACTAAATACTTTTATAACTATGTATCTTTAATTTATCAATTACACACTAGAAAAGTAATTATTTATTAAAACATTATGTCAAAGTAGTCCTCTAAAATCACTTCAAAGTAAAGTTTGTAATGAGAACTACTTAACGTATAATGTATATTCGTCTCGCAGTTATGACAACTCGAAATAGGCAATACAGAACACTATTCCAACCAGGCATAGACATAGAAACAGACATTACAAAGTCTAGCCCTAGTCTCTAGGCACTCAGCAAACTAATATTACTACTTATAAAACCCTCCCTAGCTGTTGCCTGTGACTTCGACCGCGTAGAATTTGAATTTTAGTATATATTTTTTATATGGTTCAATTTTCCAAAGTAACCTAGCCTACATTACTTCCTAGTATATATTAGCTACCTGCCAATAAAAGTCACGCCAAAATCGGTAAAGGCATTCCAGAGATTAGCCAGTACAAACAGAGTGACAGAAAAAAGTTGTACAAAACGACGTTTTGGTATGTGTATCGTATGTATATTGTCGCGGAGAACCTAACGGGTAACCGGGGCTCCGGCTCGACGTGCAGGAGAAGGAACGGGGTGGTTTTTAGTCAGTAAGAGTCTGACACTCCCTCCCGCCTCACCCAGCCGGGAGCAGTCATTCGATGAATTTCCCCCCTTAAAAAAGCCTATATTACTCCTTAGTGCATTAGCTACCTGCCAATTATAGTCCCGTCAAAATCGGTTCAGCCATTCCAGAGATTAGCCAGTACAAACAGAGTGACAGAAAAAAGTTGTACAAAATGACGTTTTGGTATGTGTATCGTATGTATATTCATGTGCATATAGTAGAGGTAAATGCGGTTGTTTTAATATTACAAACAGACACTTTAATTTTATTTATCTGAATAGATTACTTGTCTACTAACCCGAGTCATCGTAAAACTTTTATCCCAATCCCAAACTATTAGCTGAAGCAATCTTCATCCTACTTCAATATTATTAATATTCTTTGGGTCCATTTTTATTCATTTTTTTTTTAATAAAAATAGTTTTCTATACAGGCTGATCAAAATAGGCATGAAATAAAACAATAAAGAATTTTGTAAGCCTCTCGCGTCTCGACCTCAGTTAAGGTGTCCCCAAAACGAGTATAGGCCAAGGTCAAAAGCCTTATAGGGTATGTTCGGTAAGGGTCCTGTTTATTCTTAATGTATGTTATATGTCAGCATGCCGAGTTCGCCAGTTTAGCTTTAAATTTATTAGGATACGCAAAACAAGGCAAAAATCGTACGGATAAAGATGCGAAGCAATTTATGTACTTTGTCCCATTTAAATTAGATTTGGCTTATTGAATTTCGTTCATCCTGTATAGTGAGTTAGGTTATGTAGTTTAGTTTATACCGTTCCTCTGATGATATTATATTATATTCTTCGAAATTAATTATGCTGTCAGTCTAAGAAGCATCTAAGGAAAAATTTTAAGACAAAACAATTTCTAGATTATAAGGTCTTGGCCTTTTAGATGTTGTGTCTTTTATGATAATACAGCTTTTAGACCTTTCATAAAATATGTTTAAAAACTTTGATCAAAATCTATTGAAACATTGTTTACACATTTACCTACTCAATAGTGTAGATGACTAAGAACGAGTATTTTTTATTTTCTTACGGAAACAAATGCTTCCGACTATATATTTATTTGAAATGTCGCGTGACGTCACTTTTGTGTACGACACTTTTGTGTATGACTTAGTCCTATTCCTAAACTTTGATTCGTGTTATCTAAGTATTGTTTTGTGTCGCGGAGAGCCGGAGAACCTAACGGGTAACCGGGGCTCTGGCTCGACGTGCAGGAGAAGGAACGGGGTGGTTTTTAGTCAGTAAGAGTCTGACACTCCCTCCCGCCTCACCCAGGCGGGAGCAGTAATTCGATGAATTTCCCCCCTTAAAAAAAAATACTGTTTTGTAAAAAAAAAACATGTAAAAATACGTGTCTAATAGTTTTTCATTACATAACTGACGGACTTGATAGATTTTTGATTTTCATACCCCGTCATCATCCCAATTTTTTTTTCTAGGAAATGGCTCTATCGAAGAAGACGGACGTGCGCCAGATGTGGGAGAAGATCCCTTTTCCCCTGGACTTCAAGGTGTACATATTCAACTATACTAATGCTGAAGAAGTGGCGAAAGGAGCTACACCAATCCTGAAGGAGATTGGACCTTATCATTTTGAGTGAGTTTGAGTTTTGTTTGGTTTTAAAATCAGCATTGTTGCAAATGAATGGATTACCCGCGGATATATTTTGTTTTGTCTTTTACCTTAGATATGATCATATTTTATATGGAATGATCTATCGTCAGCTATATTATCCGAACCGATACGATCTTCAAACCTTCAAGACAAGACCGTACCTATTCCTTTTTAAAATGCCGGCAATGCACTCGCGACTTCTCTGGTATTGCCGGTGTCCATGAGCGGCGCTGATCGCTTACCATCAGGTGATTCGTCTGCTCGTTTGTCTCCTATTGTTCCTGACGTCACATCGTGCTCACCACCATACGTGGCCCGCGACCGCTGCGATCGGCGGTCATTCATTCTCTCGCTCTCCCGACACGACGCCGTGCGCACATATCGGTTGACCCTTACAATCAGTACCTATTTAAATACAGTCTTCTCATCATACCGAAGTCTTTTATTATTCAAGTCCACCAGCAACACACCTGGAGCTTGATATTCAAACACCTATTCTATAAAAAAATCTACTACCTTATTTGAGGAGCCTTCTTAAAATGTGTAAGCGAAAAGAACTGCCAAGTGCATTTGATTTTCACTCCATCTAAAAGGTATGAGTTAGTTTATAATATTCAGAAAACTTCACTAACAATATGCATAACGGGTTGACGCCTAAAAGCGCACATAATTACATAATCAAAGGAATATAGGACTACAGAACATCTCGTAGTTATTTTCATGCTCAGCGGCCTATAAAAATGACACACCGCTTAACTAAATTAACTGATAATTGGAGACATTCAAACAAATGATCACTTTTGTACTTTAGCCAGTAATTTTGTCCAGAGACTTACAATCAGGGTGCTGCCAATAACGGAAGCCTATAGTTTAATGATATAGAATTCTGTTTGAATGACAAAGACAAATACATACTTGATAATTGTAGTACCTATTAGTAGCTGCGTTATTAAAGTAGTCATTTTGAACATTATATATTATGCAGAGAGTTCTAATATAATCACAGATGATATTGTTTCTTAAGCACTAATGCAACAATTTATTTTAATATCTTTAATATACGTATAGTAATTTTGTAAAGGTAGTGGAGATTTTGATGTCGAGATATAAAGTAAGTGTGGGAGAGCCATGCTTCGGCACGAATGGGCCGGCTCGACCGCAGCCTCACAGAAAACCGACGTGAAACAACGCTTGCGTTGTGTTTCGTCGTGTGAGTGACGTTACCGGAGGCCCAATTACCCTGTCCCTAGTCTCCTGAATCCCCGAATTCTCCACAATCATATCAACATCCCGGTGTTTCGGGTGTCTATGTGCGGCGCCGAATGTTTACCATCAGGTGATCCGTCTGCTCGTTTACCGGCTTATGCTATAAAAAAAGTAAATTCTGATAAAAATCTTGTCATAATAAGATCCAAATTAATTGTTAATGGCAAAATTGCTATGATGGTCATGATGAAGTTTGAATTGAAAATAGGGTATGAAAGTAAAAAGGAGAATCTCTAATTCAAGTCATACTCACACCCACACATTAACAGCCTATAATGCCTACTGCTCCACACGGAGAAGGTTTGAGCATATAATTATCACCACGCTTGCTCAATACAGGTTGGCAATTTCAAACTTATCATTAGAAATTATAAGCCCAGGTTTAGGATGTTTTCCTTCACCGTTTGTCAGTGATGTCTAAATAATCTTAAAAAATGCATATAACTCGGAAAAAGTCACATTGATATTTGCCGTTGGTAGATTTCAAACCCGCACCCTCATGCATGAGAACCGGGCGAGGCATTCAAGTCAAGTAGTTATAAAACTACTAAAGTACTAAAGAAGTGATTCATATATGTATGTATCTAGAAAAATATATTTTTCCAAGAACTTCTTGTCATATTTTCACCTTGAAAAATAATGATATGCTGTCTCGTCCACTGTTTTGCAATACTAGGTCATTATTGATATATCACAAAGTATAAACTATAAACCTACTATTTTTCTACAGCATTTAAGTATTCTGACATTAAAATCGATACTGACACTTGTATGATGAAACGAAAATATTCATTACTCATTCTTCGTGAATATATTTCATTTTATGAAAATATTATTAAATAATATTCTTCTTCTTCTTCTTCTTCTTCTTATAGTCTTAATCCTCTTCAATGTTGAAGGTCAGCCGTCAGCTTCTTGTATTCAAAAAATAATATTAAATAATATTCAGGGCCATACAAAAATGTAATGTGCTGTTTGTCAATAAACACATCTTTATTTTTATTTTTGAATAGTAAACGACAAGTATGTACCTTCATAAGACGTATCTGTATTTGACAATTAAAATGTAGAAATTATATTTTATTTAGTTAATGGAAAATAAACAATACGAAAGATAGTACAGCAGCATTTGACCATTATCAACTTTAGTAATTAATAGACTTTCAAAAGGCGCCTATCTTTCTGGGGAAAAGACTAGGCGGAATAAGATTTTTACCTGACTAAAACCTCCTCGGTGGCCACAATCTGCATCTGAAAGAGGCACCGAGTAGTAGTACAACCCCTCAGCCCCCAACGCTTGGTACCTGATCTCTCTATGGAGACAGCTTTATGTGTCTTAACACTTTAACTCCAAAGTTTAAAATGACTGCCTCGTTGGCCAAGTGGTCGCAAGTGCGACAAGGGTCTCAGGATCGATTGATTATAACTGGGATTTAAAAAAATCTTAGTAGTAGCACGGAGTCTGGAAATGTGCCCGGTAATTGGCAATAGACTCACTCCCTATTACATGGGACTCATAAAATAAATAGTGAAAAGTAGGTGTTACATTGTACAGTGGCATTAAGTGCCATAAGGTGCACCTTTGCCTACCCCTTCGGGGATATAAGGCGTGACGTTCTGATGTTATGATTAAAATGGTGAAAATCAAACCTCCACTAGCGCCAGACCGGTGAGTGACGTAACATTCTGAGGGTTAATATTTAGTAACAAATTTTACTTAGTTGAACATTCCGTACCTCGAATTGGCATAGTTGTACAAGAAAGTAAAATAATTATCTGTTTTCCCAGTGAATGGAAAGAGAAAGTAGACGTGGAGGATCATGAGGAAGATGATACGATTACTTATAAAAGACGAGATGTGTTCTACTTAAACCCTGAGCTGACTGCTCCAGGGTTGACAGGAGAAGAAATTGTGGTGATACCACACGTCTTTATGCTGGTAAGTTAAATGGAACAAGCAAATGTTACAAATACTTTTGAAAACTAAGGTTTAATTTTAATTTAGCTAAATACTCCAAAGCTTTATGGAGATTTTCTAAAACCCATCCCAAAGGGATAAAAAACCTTATCATAATAAAATTATTCGTAAAAATAGAGTCGGTAGTGTATCTACTACTCAAAATTTAGCTATGTGCTAAAATTTGCTTCATCATTTAATTTAACTTTTACTTCTAGGGCATGGCGCTAACAGTCCAGAGAGAAAAGCCAGCCATGTTGAATATGGTTGGCAAAGCGATGAACGGGATCTTTGATGATCCTCCTGATATATTCTTGAGGGTCAAAGCTATGGACATCTTGTTCCGAGGGATGATCATCAATTGTGCTAGAACTGAGTTTGCTTCAAAGGCCACTTGCACTGCACTGAAGAAGGAAGGTGTCAGTGGGCTTGTTTTGGAACCTAATAATCAATTTCGGTTCTCAATATTTGGAACGGTAGGTATCCTTGAGTTTTTCACTTTAACACATACATCTATAGACGTAGTCTACGGACTATGATTTAGAGATATGTAGTTGATTAAAAACACTATCGGTAAGGTGTACCCAAGGGTGCCAAGACACGTTATCGTTGATTATTAAAATTTATGGTTAAGTTAAAAAAGAGTTAAGCTCTTTAACTTAACCCTAAATTTTAAAGAAAAGCTTGTTTATTTTTGACCGATTGTTGATCCATTAAATTCTTCAATGCTTAATGAAGATGCCAAGGATACAATATGTGACAAATGTCCAGCGACACGTGTCGCCAGCGACGTTGGGTGAAGTAGCGTGATGTTGTCAGACTTTGTCAACATATCTGGCAACATCAATGTCACTGTGGACGTCGCGCGTTGTCGCCGTATATATCAAGCAAAATCAGGTGACTTCATTTGATATGTCGCCGATACGTGTCTTGGGACATTTGTCCCCTAGTGTATAGAATGGAATTATTGTTTAGAATAGAATGGAAAGGAATGGAATGGAATGGAATGGAATGGAATGGAATGGAATGGAATGGAATGGAATAGAATGGAATGGAATGGAATGGAACAGCATAGAATGTCATTTATTTCCAAGTATATGATAAGAGTCAAGATAAAAGTCCTTAAGACCAAATAGTAATTTAAACACATCTCCCACAGCGAAACAACACAATAGACCCTCACGTGATAACAGTCAAACGTGGTATAAAGAATGTGATGGATGTCGGTCAAGTGGTGGCAGTGGATGGTCACACGGAACAGACCATTTGGAAGGACACGTGCAATGAGTACCAGGGCACTGATGGTACTGTGTTCCCACCCTTCTTAACTGAGAATGATCGCCTTCAATCTTTCTCCACTGATTTGTGCAGGTAAGATTGGAAATGATATTTTGTACGAAGGTAGTATAGGATTGATGAATAAAATAAAATAATTCGGTACACTTGTTAGGTTATGATTGGTATTTATTTGTAAAGGGCTTCAATTTAATTGTGTTTGGCATCAATCATTTCTGTTGTGCTTGTATATTTTTAAAGTACATTTATATTTTAGAAATTTTCTACTTACAATAAGCTTAACATATTGGATACCGTGTCGGACTATGATGTCCGCCGCTAGCGGAGGATTAACCCTTTAAAAGTTTTTAGCGGCAGCTAAAGGCTTAATTTTTGTTTTAGATAAGGTTTAAAAAACATATTATACCAATTGTATAAAAAAAATTCTATATTACAGTTAGAACATTACAAGAATAAAACCGCACCGTAAATTAATTTAAACATTACAACGCCTTCAGTGAAAATTATAGCAAATTCACTCACCAGTAAATAAATTCATTGGAATGTATAAATCTATGATTCCATGAATTTAATGAAATTTCCTATATCTTCGGTCTTTTTCTTCCGCACAATTAAATAAATGGTTTTCGGGTCGGCTGTGTACTTCTACGAACGCTCATTTAGTCCTTTTGTAACAGTAAGCGCTCATTTACACATTCTCCGTACCTACAACGTCTGTTGGTTTATTTGGAAACTTTATTATTCATCTATGATTACTTTTAACTACCATCACCAGTGAAATATATTACTTAGTTCAGCTTTCATAATAATTCTAGCGCCGGACTGTAGTATTTTCATGATTCTATCTTCTGTTAGTCCTGACTTGGAGTGGTCACAGCAGTTTTGGAAGACTGTGACGGGGCTTGCCTTAATAGAAAAGTAATACGGTAGTTGACAACTAGTCAAATTCAATACTTTTATCGAAACTTCAAAAACGATACTGTTCTATGAATTTTGTACGAAATACAAAAAATTTTAGAATAAATCGAAAATTAAGTATATCGACAAATCAATGAATGGAAAAGTAACTATTTTTCAATATTTAATTGGACTGAAAAATCAAAATAGTTTTATTTTTGAGCCAGGAAACTACCCAATTCTTGGTATAAAAATTCACGATAGCTCAAATTGAACTCAAATGTCACACTTCAAAGTCTAAAACACCTTAACCACCTCCAGGTCCTTCAAGCCATGGTATCAAAAGAAGAGTTCCTACAGGGGCATAAAGACCAACCGATACGTAGCAAACATTGGAAACTTGGCTGAGGACCCAGAACTGCAGTGCTTCTGTCCCCAGCCAGACAAATGTCCTCCGAAAGGCCTAATGGACCTGGCTCCTTGTATCAAGGCCCCGATGTACGCCTCCATGCCTCATTTCTTGGACAGTGATCCGGCTTTGCTGAGCAAGGTCAAAGGTCTTAATCCCGATGTCAATGCGCATGGAATTGAAATTGATTTTGAACCGGTAAGTTTAGTTTTCTATAACGATGATGATAGATGATGAACTACGCAAAAATGTTCAGTACTAGGTGAATGACTTACGTTAAAAATCAAATGTAGGTATTTCGGGGTGTAATTTAGGTGAAATTTTATATATCACAATCAAAAAATTTCTCACATAACTATTATATTTTCGGCTTTCTCACGTAACTCTTTGACGATGAACTCGACTAGTTTCAAGCCATGCTAGAGGCTCATATTCATGAGCAGCATTCCGCTACAAACGACGTGGTGACTATGAAACAGTTACGTGAGTGAGCCGAAAACATAATAATTAATTTAGAATGTCTCACGTAAGTTTTAATATGAATAACTGATTAATAAAAATCTTCTATGATTTTTTTATCTATCTATGGGTGCTTTGATTTAAATATAGTTTGACTTTGAACTTTTTGTTTGTATTACTTAAAGTAATTGTTTTCATAGAAGATCTCGTACGTACTATTTCTATGTGATTTTTTTTATTTGAATTTGAAAGATACGCACATGTTCCTTATTCCTAGAAACAAATTAAGAATGGGTTTCAAACAATTACCTACTCGAAGGGTTTCTTAGTATTGCTCGCCATTTGAAATTTTACAGCTCAATTATTTAACGCAACCTAGTATAATATATAACTAGGTAACTTAGAATAATATTTCTAAGAGGAAAATGAAACAATACGTATGTTGTTAGTATTACTTGGAATCAGTACATCGAGAGTATCTATGAAGCTGTGGGCTCTTAAACTATTAGCATAAAATAAAAAAAAACTTAATGGATAGATAATAAGGATCGGTTATGAAAACACAAGTATTTTATTCAATGCTATTCGTAGCCTTTTCATTTCACATGCGAAAATCATCTAATGACGTCTCCCGCCTTGGGTGAGGCAAAAAAGAATGCCAGAATTTTACTGCCTAAAAACCACCCCGTTTCTACTCCTGCACTTCGAGCCGGAGCCCCGGTGTCCCGTTAGACGGATCTAAGGAAATCCTTAAATCTATATACCTAAATAAAAATTAATTATCGTTCGTTAGTCTCGCTAATACTCGAGAATGGGTTAACCATTTTGGCTAATTTTGGTTTTGAAATGTCTCGAAGTTCACCGGGTCAGCTAGCAACAGATATAAACCAACTGAAGGACATTTAAGGCCAATTTTCTGTGAAAACAAAAATTATAGTCCATAATTCGTTGACCTTTGGAACAAATAGTGTAGAAGAATTTCCACTACTAAATAACAATCTAAACCCTTATTTAGATAATTCGATACATAATTATAACAGTAAGATTTTCGAGAAATATCCGTTTCAGATATCAGGCACACCGCTGGTAGCAAGACAAAGGATCCAATTTAATATTCAACTGCTAAAAACTGACAAATTAGACCTTTGCAAGGATCTTTCTGGAGATATTGTACCTTTATTCTGGATTGAAGAGGTAATTTCATTTGTAGATTATCTATTTGAGATGATAATCACTGTTCCTTTTGGTTGTGTTGTTAATATATCTATAAAGTGACTGCTAAGTAGAAGGTGTTTGTGTTTGATTTCTAAGTTGTGCAAAGAATCTTTGACTATTTTATTAATGATGGAAGATATAGGTAACTAGAAAATGAGGATTGTGAAACTTCGTTACCTCGTTGTTCAAGAGGCAAGTGTGCCTTCTGAGTGAGTAGATAACTCATTAAATGGGGTTTAACTTATGTCTTCTGATTTCTCATAATTCTTAGTCACGTCACTTGGGTATGGGACTCAGCAAATATGTTCAATAAAATTAGCAAAAGTCTTGCTGTACCTATAACTGACAAAAAGGGCTAAATATCACGTTATTAAAGCACCAGTTGTTTTATTAAGGTTAATGAATTGAAAAGTGATAACCATTATAATATTTATATAACAGGGATTGGCTTTGAACAAGACGTTCGTGAACATGCTGAAACACCAGCTCTTTATACCAAAGAGAGTGGTGGGAGTACTGCGCTGGTGGATGGTGTCCTTCGGAAGCCTTGGAGCAGTGATTGGAATAGTGTTCCACTTCAGAGGTAAGCAAGTAAGTTCATTGAAGCAGATATTGATAGGTTGCACAATCAAGTGGTTGCAATGTGACGTCACAATACACAATCTCGTACAAAATTCATAGAAAACTGTCGTTTTTTGACAGTTCGAATAGAGTATTGAATTTCACTAGTTGGCAAGTACCCAATTGCTACTGTCGAAGAATCGGGGTTTTCTACAAATTGAGCAGTGTCATTATTTTTCTCTATTAGTCATACATACATACATAACTTCACGCCTATTTCCCATGGGGGTAGGACTATGGAACGCCAATTATTATGATTCCTACATACCTCTTTCGCTTCAACAGTCATCAATCTTTTCATGCATGCTCGTCGGTTAAGGGTACTAAAATATTTTTTACAAGTTTTATCTGTCTGTTTGTTCTGGCTAATCTCTGAAATGGCTGGACCCATTTTGGCCAGACTTATATGAGCAGATAGCTAATGCACTAAGGAATAACTTAAGCTACTATTTTGTACAGCTATTATTATTAAATATACGAACTCCTTCAATGACTCAAGCATTAAAAGTCGATGTAATATTATTTAAAAAGTTACATTTTATTATTCATATCATGTTTTTGTTTGAGAATCTAAATACTAATAGACATTCACCTCAATATCAAATATTATTTGCATTTCAAATAGATCTTCGGCAAATAATGTAATTATGTAAATCCCAGTCTAATTCAAAATAGATTAAAGTCCAAAATAGATATTAAATAATAGAAAACTAATAAATAAACTTGTATAGTTGTGCTAAGACAACAGTAACTTTTGAATGAAATCCGTCGGGAAAGTTTTCTTTCTTATAGGTATTTGCAAAATACAAAGAATGATATAAAGGACTTAGGGCTCGTACACAAAACTGCGATGCGACGTCGCATCGCAAAAATGCGCGAGCTCCCTCTACGCATCGCAAGAACTTGTGAATTGAATCGCATCGCGCATCAAAATCTTATCTTCCCAAAATCTTCTGTTTCTTTTTCCTGTATCTCCTAAGCAATAACAGAAGTGCACACTTCTTTTCACGATCCATGTCACGGCCTAGTTTTCAATTTAAAAAACGTTTAGTACGGTCGTCGGAGGAATGGTCACCCTGGAAGACGCAATTTCGCACGAAATCGCATCGCAGTTTTGTGTACGAGACCTTAGTGACCTAAGTCTAAATCACTTCATATTTAAATATTATTTAGTTCTGTAACAAGTTATTACTTACGAGTAAACAATTACACAACAATTTCAGAATTTTTGAACTTAAAAATACGCATCTCAGACAGTACCAGTATCTACTAGTACCTTTCAATCACCAAGGGGTACCTGGGGAGTTTAAGTCGTAATTTTAAACATCAGCGCCATTAAATAAACTCCCCATACAAACCAAATGATATCATCATCAACAGCCTGTTTTCGTCCACTGCTGGACATAAGCCTCTCCAATGGCACGCCACTGAGCTCGGTCTTCAGCTCCACGCATCCAACCACTACCAGCCACTTTACGTATATCGTCACTCCACCTAGCTGGAGGGCGCCCTACACTACGTTTGCCTAGACGCCGTCTCCACTCTAGAACACGTCTACTCCAGCGGTCATCGGTTCTTCGACAAATGTGACCGGCCCACTGCCATTTCAGCTTGCTAATCCTTTGGGCTACATCGGCAACTTTAGTGCAACCAAATGATATATCGATTTTTATCTTCCACACAGATCACATAATGCGTTTAGCCGTTTCTGGAGACTCGAAGGTGTCAAAAGTGACACCCGAGGAAGTCGAGGAGCAGAAGGACATCAGTGTGATTGGGCCAGCACAGGAACCAGCCAAGATCAACATATAATCCACCTTCAGACGACTCTTCACCTTAGCTGTAATATGGAGTCGTCGATACGGGATAGTGAACCGAGGAATATGGGCCCAAACTTACAAATTCCTTGTTAGACGTAGAAGAAATTAGATGATAGTGTAGTGAGTTGTAGATGTAAGATAGTGCTAAGGAGATATACGAGGATAAACGAAAATTCCCTTTATCCTTTTTAAACAGGCCTTATAACAAGAGCGAAGTTCTTGAAGCCAACAATCAGTTAATTCTGGTTGGAATCTAAAGAAAGAAGTAAGATTTGCAGGGGATTTATGCTAATCACCGTATGCTAATACTCATATTATAGTATTAAATTATGACACAAAAGTTCAACTGCACAAATTAGAAGTAAGATTTTGGAATGTGTATCAGAAAAATGTGGTTTTATCTGAGGATACTCTGGCATATTTTTTGTTAATAATTTTTTTTTATTGTTTTTTTTTTGTAGTACAGTCGACGATATTTGTTTAGGATGTTTTCAGTGCTATTCTTTATAAAATATATTTTTAGGTAATACTATGTCTTTCTGGTACACGTTCGTAAATCGTAATTTTTAAATTTACCCTAGTTCTTACTCTAGTCCCTACTACTAGGTATATAAGTCTACTAAATTTAAGGTTTTCTTTTACTTAAATAGAATTTACTATACATTTTATAAGTTTACTTTAATTTAGAGTATTACATCATTATTAGAATTATTATCGTAGATACTAAAATGTTTAACTAGTACGATTTCTAGTCATTATTGTTCACAAATTTAATCTACATGCACTCACTTCTTTTTTCTGCTTCTTAGACAAATAAATATTAGTTTAAATTGTATAAGTAACTGATTGTTTCAGAATATTTAGATGTTTAAGATGTCACCTTTAATTCTATTAAAGTTTAGATCAAAATTGTTCATTTTTATTTTTAGACTATTTAACCAAATAACTTGCCCCGTGCGGGAATCGAACCCGCTACACGTTGCGCGGCAGCCGATTGCCCATAAACAACGCCAACCGAATATTTGGTAGTTCTAAATCTCAAAACTTAATAATCTATCATTGTCCATAGATTAAAAATATAAGAGCGCTGCTTAGACAAACTTGTTAGTCTCTACTCCAAAAGTTGTAGTGATAAAAAGAAAAATTAAAAAAATAAATATACTTATTTTCTTTTTTTTGTTATGAAATTACTTGATCATCATCACCATCAACAACAGCTTAAAAATGCCCACTGCTGAGCAAAGCCTCTTCTCACACGGAGAAGGTTAGAGTATTAATCGCCACGCTTGCTCAATGCGGGTTGGCAATTTCAAACTTATAATTAGGAATATATAAGCCTAGGTTTCCTCACGATGTTTTCCTTCAACGTTCATCAGTGGTGTCTAAATAATCTTAGAAAGTACATTTAATTAGGAAAAAGTCACATTGGTACACACGGTCACACATCAACCTATACAAAACCAGTTTATCCTGGCGTCGCGTCGCATCATCTTTCCGCACATTTAACGTTCAGTTTATACTGGTTATGTAAAGCTCGACGTGTAGCCGTGTGTACTTGCCATTGGTAGGTTTCCAACCCTCGAGAAGCAGGCGTCTTCAACCTCCGGGCCACCGGGTCGATGGTGTCGCCATCGACATACGTTACGAAATAACTTTAGTAACGTAGTAATTACAATAAAACACATAAAAAAATATTTTAACAATTTTTATTTTAAATTAAAATAAATCATAAGTTACACCAATGAGCAAATTGTTTATTTATACATAACTTTAAGAAAAATAAGTAAGTACCTATTATTTTCTTATCACTATAACTATATATTATAATATTTACAAACTTCACTATCTTACTACACACTAATGGTAACTGTGATTGGTAACAATACGGTGGCTATTTTTACAGAAAAGAAATAACAAATATGTATCAACCTTTTTTATCTTTAGGAGACAATGTCCTGCGACACACGTCGCCAGCGACGTTGGGTGAAGTAGCGCGATGTTGCCGGAGTTTGGTCGACATATCTGGCAATATTAACGTCGCTGTGGACATAGGGCTCGTACACAAAACAGCAATGCGACGTCGCATCGCAAAAATGTGCGAACTCCCTCTGTGCATCGCAAGAACTTGCGAATTGATTCGCATCGCGCATCAAATTATTTTCTTATCTTCCCAAAATCTTCTATGTTTCTTTTTCCTGTATCTCCTAAATAATAACAAAAGTGCACACTTCTTTTAACGATCCATATCACGACCTACTTTTCAATTTAAAATACGTTTAGTACGGTTGACGGTCGTCGAAGGAATGGTCACCCTGGGAGACGCCTTGTCGCACGAAATCGCATCGCAGCAATTCGCATTGTAATTTTCTGCGTTGCGAATTCGCATCACATCGCATCTCAGTTTTGTGTACGAGCCCATAAGTCGCACGTTGTAGCCCTATATCATGTCGGGTGAAATCGGCCGACATGTCGCGACACAGTGGCTTTAACTACACTTAGGACCAAAGAAATGGAGCCACTAGCAAATTTCTTTTTCATTTTACTAAAGCCTCTATAATTAAAAAAATATTTTTTTACACCAGAATGCTCACATTTTAAAGGTATCTAAATTGCCTTTTATTATACGATATATGTTACCAGTTAATAAAATGCTTGTATTATAAAATATTAATATGAACTGAAAAAGAAAAAACACTAGTCAGTCCGTTACTTTGCTCCCGAATATAGTTAGAGCTAGAATCTCAAAGACAAAGAAGAATAAAATATTCTATAAACAAAATTCTTTTGAATACTGGAATATTAAGTCACTGGCGTGACCAAAAAGTCTAATGAATACATTTCCAAGTCAAAACTTAGAATTTATAATTAATTTCGTAATTTGTATACAAATGAAAGATTCCTCCATTTTTAATAACATTTTTTTAACGCTTACGTCAATTTATTTATCTCTGTCTCCCCCCCTACTAACGGGATTAGGACTAACTTTAATATCACTGGTATTATGTACATACTTTTTATTTTATTAAGTGAACATCGATCACATCAATTTGAACTCCTCGAGTTACAAGTAACCTGATTACAATCAAATCTTCACTTAATACAAAGTCCAATAAGAACCATTTTTGTATAACAATCTCTATTCTATAAGACATCTTCTCAGTCACAAAATGTTCTATTAAAGTTACATTTTGTTGTTCACAATTTCTTCTTTGTTACCGAAGCTTGACTTAATAACTTCGAACTAGTCAGTAGATTATTTGACTTGTCCAATAGTTCATGCATTTGTTTCTTCTGCACGTAACTTATTAATCTATTGAAACTCAACCTTAACGCGTAAGAAATAAGAGCGTATGAAGTTACAAGTACTGAGATGATAAGTAGGAAAACATCCAAAGAATAATATTGGAAGAAGTTCATGTCCTTCGCTGGTGACTGCAAATGGTAAGCTCCTTTGTGCCTTATTACGTATTCAGTCCAGTAGATGGCTCTTTCTAATGGACTCTCCTTCTGATCTCTTAAGAGGACTTGCCTTTTCTTTACTTCTTGTTTGTATCTGGGTTCTGTGATTACTTCTAGAATAGATTTGTATAATTTCTCTGGTGTGAGGGATTGTAGGTCGAGTTTCTTGGCGTAGCCATCGACTTCGGCTTTGGCAGCATTGGAGTCGTGGTCGCAGAAGATGGGGATGGTAACGATTGGGACGCCGTGGTAGACTGTCTCGAACATGCTCAGAAGACCTCCGTGTGTGACAAAGGCTTTGATTTTAGGATGACCTGTAATTAAAATAAAAACATTCAACATTCAATGAAACTTAGGATTCAATGATAAATTACTTGTATGATTGCCTCGTTGGCCGAATGATCGTAAGTACGAGAGTCGCAAGGGGTCTCGGGGTCGATTCCCGGGTTGGGTAAAGTCTTACATGACATTTTAAAAAATATACAATACTGCACGGATCTGGAAATGTGCCCGGTATAGGCTCACCCCTTATACTTATAACATAAATAGTGAAAAGTAAGTGTTACATTGTACAGCGGCATTAAATGCCGTAATATGCACATCTGCATACTTTCAGAATAAAAGGCGTGATATTATATTATGTTATTATGACGCTTCGGAACAAATGGCCCAACTCGACCAGAATGATACTACGGAACAGAAAACAGAAGCAACGCTTGCATTGTGTGGTTGTGGTGTGTGTCATTGTACACTGCCAGTGCCTTCTATCCCCTGTATGGCAATGTCCCTACTTAATATGTATACGTAACTAACGAAATGTTGACATTTTGTCCTTCTGGGAAATGATATGGGCAATGTTTTGTACTTATAGTAGTTGCGGTTTTATGGTATACGTATAATGTCCTAGGACCTTTAAGCGCATTGTTGGCATCCGACCGCAGCGTGCGGTAGACCTCATTTAACTCAAATGGTTGCAGTTTGTCGTGACCGACTGTATTGGCCATGACTTTACTATCTGAGTCTTCTCCCGATTGTTAGATGATATTAGACTTTTAACAATTCCATGTAACGTTCATATTAAGTAATAGTTTAGGTCGAGACAGCGTCATGGGTCTCTTTTTATTTAAGGGGGGAAAATCATCGAATGACTGCTCCCGCCTGGATGAGGCGGGAGGGAGTGTCCTGTGTCAGGCTCGTACTGACTAAAAACCACCCCGTTCCTTCTATACTGCACGTCAAGCCGGAGCCCCGGTTACCCGTTAGACTTTATTTTAAACTCCAATAAATATTTAGTTATATCACTTAGGTATGACACACCCCTGAAAATTCCAAAACCTTCCATTCTGACATTTATTATTTGATGTTCGTTTTGTAAAGTCCGATTAATAAGGGTACCTACTTCACTGGTATTATTAAATTTTCTTTCAATCATATTTGACTGACATACTTAAGTATCTGCTCTATAGCGAATATTTGAAAATAAATGATATTTACAAATCCTACAAATTGTATAAGCGAAAGCAAGCGATTGTTTGACTTTCATACTTCTATAAAGGCTTTTTTTACGGCATGAGCTGACAAACGAGCAGACGGATCACCTGATGGTAAGCAATCGGCGTCACCCTGGAACACCAGAGGCGTTACAAGTGCGTTACTGGCCTTTTGGGGATTTGGAATTTGAGGATCGTTGAAGATTCAGGGATTAGGGAAGGGGAGGTGTAATTGGGCCTCCAGTAACCTCACTCACACGACGAAACACAATACAAGCGTTGCTTCACGTCGGTTTTCTGTGAGGCCCTGGTATCACTCCGGTCGAGCCGGCCCATTCGTGCCGAAGCATAGCTATCCCACATTTGGAAGTAGGCTACGAAAATACGATTTCGAATTGCTACAAACGATGATATTATGAAGTAAAAGTAGTATTCTACAATAGGTTTTATATACAGTCCTAACTATATTTTATTTGTAAAGTTTTGATTGAATCATAGAACATTCCCAATGCGAAGGTATTGTTTTAAGTTCTTGTTCTTACATTATAGAAGCTTTGAAAATATTTGTACAAAGATGATATAAAACTCGTGACATTTAGTATATATTATTCTAATTTGAATTGGATTAACCACAAAGGCAAGGTTTGCTCTTAAATGTTGTAGTATAAGTTACACATTACTTTGGACTCTATTCTGTGTATCTAAGATTTCTCATTACAATCTAGAACAAACTATCGATCAGCCAACGACTAGACAGCTCATTTTCAAACACACAATACTAAACTATAAACTTACATACCATACATTAACATAACGTCACGCCTTTTATCCCCGAAGGGGTAGGCAGAGGTGTACATTATGCCACTGTACAATGTAACACCCACTTTTCACTAATTATATTATGACTCCCATGTAATAGGGGGTGAGCCTATTGCCATATACCGGGCTAAACTATAAACTAAAACTAATATCGGATAATCGGATAATCCAGAACAGAAGAGAAAATTTCCAAAGGTCCTACTCACCCAGCAAGTCTTGCTGTGGCAGCCATTTGTACAACCTGATGTTTGAAGGTATATCAGTCATGTTCTGTTCCACATCTTGCTTCCACAGCACCCTCTGTGGTAATCTGCCCAGAGCTTCTACCAGCAGACGGTGGGCGGAGAGTGGCATCTTCGTTGTCCTTACTGAAGATCCCATGGAGACGTAGACGAAACCTGTCTCACCAGCACCTGATATCCATTCTTCGATTTCCTGAGGAGTTAAAGAAAATATTTGAGCTTAATTTTGAATTTCACCAGAATTGGGTAGATGACTCATTTTTAATTTAAAGTCCGTCCGTGGTGGATTATTTTAAAACACTATACAATAGAAGTCACTTATTTGTACGTTTTATACTCTAAAATGACATAGCTACCTGCCACTCCGAAACTTTGATTCGTTTTATCTAAGTATTGTTTTCTTACACGACAATATAAAAAATACGTTTTCATTATGTAACTGACGGACTAATAAAATTTTTGATATTCATACCCATTCATTATCCCTATTATCTTACTTTTTGTATATGCGGAACCTGAACACTATTTCTAAGTAAAGGCATTCGTTCTAGGCCCACGCAAAATATTGAATTATGAACGTGTTGATTTTAAAAGTTCAAATCTGTGAGATCATATATCTCACATCAGAACTTTCAGAACAGAGCAAAGGGCTAGTAACAAAATTGTCGTAAAAAAGTTACCTTCCACGAATACAATTGTTTCATTTATTTTTGTTTTAATGTCAGTCTATTTATGTGTTATAATGTCAAATTGTTTGTTTGTTTTAATATTAAGTCTATTTATATCCCATACAAATCGGAGCATATATTTTATTACTATGTCACGGCAAATCTTCTCAGTTCTTTTAGAACTGTGTTATGTAGACACATGAATAAATTAATATCTATTTTCACCTCTGCCTCAGGGAGGAACAGGCTTAATGACACGTTCTTACATATTTAAAAGACTCCACGAACAAAGGTACATTATTAAACAGCTGCTAAAAATATTCATCCAACCTCCAAACTTCGAAGAAATACGAAAGTCGTACAAACACCGTCGGGAGTTCGGAACCCAAAGTGTGAGTGACAGAAACACAAACAAACTTTTATACACTTTCCTACAGAAGGGTTCAAGTGTTCGAGATTTCAGGGCGACATCAAAGTATTGTATCCTCCAAGGCTTCGGAAGGTTTCTGTTTAACAATGTTGGTAAAAAACACTATCTTAAATCTTTCATGGTTAATATTAATGCTTATCATATATGTACGTGAATACTTCCTTAACAGTAAACCAGCATTTCCCCGCATAATATAAAAAGAAATAATTTTATTAGGCTAACTTTTTTAGACTTACTTATGATAGGTAATTTTCATATCCCTATCCTCCTCCTCCCTCCTATCAATAAATAACAAAATGATAATCTTACCGGATCAAGTGGTTTCGCCTCTTTACAATGAATGCAGGCAACCTCAGCTACATTAGGAAGATAAGGTCTTGGGTAAGACACGGAGTAATGTCCATTCTGGAGTATGAAGCTCACATTCTTCGCCATGTCATACACATGAGGTATTTGCTGGCCAAAATTTCTTCGCAAAACTCCTTGGAGGATCTGCATGCTGAAGGCGTGGAAGGGAATGATAGCAGCGTGGAAGATGGCATTTAGGGCTCTGTCAAAAATCCCCATGTTATCAGTAAAAGCCTTGCCAAAGAATGGAGTGACAGAGTACGGTGCTGGGCTTCCAGAGTTACTCAATGGCATGGTGTAGAAACCAACAGTGTTGATGTACATGAACGGGACTTTGAGTTTGTAGACGATGCCCAGGGCGCACTCAGGATAGGTTCCGTCGAGGATAACGAGATCAAAAGTCCTTCCTGATCTGAGGAAGGACCTCGTCTCAGGGTCACTGAGGAATGCGTCGCAGGCCTGAGGACAAAGAAATTGGTTTAGTTAACATAACAAACAACATAACATCACGCCTTTTTATCCCCGAAGGGGTAGGCAAAGGTGCACACAGAAGTAACACCCACTTTTCACTATTTATGTTATGAGTCCCATGTAATAGGGGGTGAGCCTATTGCCATATACCGGGCACAATTCCAGACTCCGTGCTACTACTGAGTATTTTTTTTAATAACCCAGTAATACTTTGCCCGACCCGGGAATCGAACCCGAGACCCCTTGCCCAGCAGTCGCACTTGCGACCACTCGGCTAACGAGGCAGTCTGTCTGCCTGGTTTAGTTAATATCGGTATAAATTAAATTTTTGAAGGGTCGACAAAGCGTATGTAATGCCTTATGTGTTGCAAGCGTTCATAGACCAAGGTGACCGGGATATTCTCCAAAAAAAAAACCAAAACATTAACGACGTTATTATCCTTAAGCCATAGTTAACAATTCTGCTGATTAAAATACAAAGTTTAGTTTCATACAGTTGAGCCGTGTCACTGCTCTCACACAATCTAATAAAATACAGATGCTAATAAGTTACTGCGATTTTTAAAAACGCGGGAAGATAATTATTTGTTTTTTTTATAGCATAAGCCGACGAGCATAGTAAACGAGCAGATGGATCACCTGATGGTAAGCAATCGGCGTCGCCCATGAACACCTGGAACACCAGAGGCGTTACAAGTGCGTTACCGGCCTTTTGGGGATTAGGAGTTTGAGGATCGTTGGGGATTCAGGAATTGGGGAGATTGGGAAAGGGGAGGGTAATTAGGCCTCGGGTAACCTCGCTCACACGACGAAACTTAAAGCAATTGTTGCTTCACGTTGCATCCTTACTAATATTATAAATCTGAAAGTGAGTTTGTTTGTTTGTTTGTTCCACCTTCACGCCGTAACTACTGAACCGATTGCTTTGAATTTTTGCAGGCGTAAAGTTAGAAGTCCGGATTAAATAATAGGTTACTTTTTAACCCGAAAAAAATTGATATTCCCGAGGAAAAACAAAATGGACAGATGGCGCTGTGTGTATTGGTATATGTCACATAGGCTACTTTTTATTATTTTGTAACGCGAGCGAAGCCGCGGGTAAAAGCTAGTTTGTTAAATAAAAGTTAAAGTTTTTTGAAGAAACACCCAACCACTTACCATCAGGTGGGCCGTGTACAATTTTTGCCACCGTCGTGGTATAAAAAAACCATGTCTGGTCTAAATCTACATTCAGAATTACACCTACCTAAATTGAAAAGGAACAACTATTTATTTTCATCAATGGGATACGGGATTAATAACACCGTCCGCTTTTTCATTTAAGGAACAACAGATGTTGTCGTGCAAGGCTATACTGGGTGGCAAATCGATGACTATCATATGAGAACGTTTCAACAATCTGTTACGATCAACTTTATAACAACACGTATTTGGAAATATTAATAGGAAATGTTAAAAGAAAATATTGCATCGTACCAACAAGATGCAGGGTAAATTCTTCTATCGTTTATAAACGCCTTCACTAAGCTTTCTAAGCCATTTCTTAGCAGGTATTTGAAATTACATAACATCAGGCCTTTTAATCCCCGAAAGGGTAGGCAGAGGTGCACATTTCGGCACTTAATGCCACTGTACAATGTAACACCCACTTTTCACTATTTATGTTATGATTCCCTTGTAATAGGGGGTGAGCCTCACTGCATCTCTGCCTACCCCTTCGGGGTAAAAGGCCCAAAGTTATGTTTATGTTCTAATATTTTTGGCTAAGGCTATCATACCAAGTCATTGTCTTTTGTTTAATATTATAATTAAAAAAATGGAATAATTTCCCCATTTAAATATACTTACTGCAGCAATAATACAATGTAAATTGTCTTCATCCCAAATAGATTGAATCGCAATTTGGCAAAAAGACAGTAATTTAATAAAATAATGTCTTTACCCAACATTTTTCGATACAATCGTTTGGCTATCGGCTTTCTAATAAAATTTAAAAAAGGCAAATTGCTACAGAGATTTCCCAAAGCTACTTCTAACGCGGCAATTACCATAATTATATGGATTTTCTTCAAAGCCGGTTACTTCATTTCGATTTGTTTAATTTTCACGGCTCATTACGGCATAAGCTTTTGTCTCTATTAAGGTTTTTATTTTATACTAGCTGTTGCCCGCGGCTACAACCGCGTAGGATACAAATAAAAAAAAAAACTTTTATTAGTTCCAATTTTTCAAAATAAGGTAACCTATGTTACACCTTTGTACATCATCTACCTGCCAAAGTCCCGGTAAAATCGGTCCAGCCGTTCCAGAGATTAACCAGTACAAACAGAAAAACAGACAGACAGATAAAAATTGTAAAAAATGTTATAAGGTTATTTTAATATTACAATTAGACTTACAAATGACTTAAAAATAGAATATTTAAAAGTAAATTACATCTAATGAAACGAGCAGGTCCTTTATTAGTGGCAATGCAAGCTGATTCACTAGATTTTGAAGTCTGATTTGTGAAGTTTCTTTAGATCATGAATAAAAGCAATTGAAACAGGCATAATGCTTTAACCGGAACAAAACATAAATTACTACAGAAACACACCATTTTCTACATAAATAAATAACAATGCCCGGTATATGGCAATAGGCTCACCTCCTATTACAAGGGACTCATAACATAAATAGTGAAAATTGCGTGTTACATTGTACAGTAGCATAATATGCACTTCTGCCTACCCCTTCGGGATATTAGGCGTGATGTTATGTTATGTTGTAATTAATAACAACGAGACCTTTCCAACGAATGCAAAACGGTGGACATCGGTTCGTGCGTTCTGGAGTTATAGCGTCAGGAAGGAAAACCCGACTTATTTTTATATAATAGATTAAACATCAACTTACCTCATAACCATACCGAAGAATATCTTTAACAGGCATTTGGTCCTCCCCCCTCATCCTCGCGCCCACAAGGTCGAAGGACATGTAGTTCCTCACATACGTGACCAGACCCTCAGGAGCGATCTCCTCCAACCCTGTGACGTGGAAGTCTGCTGGGAACGCACTGATAAATGTGATGTTGTGATCTCTGGAAACAATTAAAATCAATTTTTAGGAAGTACTCCTCTCTAAAAGGTTGCATATGTACGCATTTGTAACAGTTTGGTATTGGTGTAACCTTAAATCAAATGCAAAACTGTAGAATTCCCCTTTTTTAAACTAATGAAAGACCGCCAGTGGTTCTTGTGTAAATATATATATAACTAAACACAAATACTGACTAGGCGAAAACAAGCGTGGAAAACGGAATTTTAACAATCAATACGAAAAGAGGTTTTCGGTAAAACATCTAAATCAGTATCGACCTTAACCTAACAACTCAAAGAAAGAGATAAAAATACCAATTACCTATATTTCCAAAAATAACTACATACTCCAAATTACCTCGTTTTCAATGCGATCATCCTATAACTGACCATTAGTTGCTAATGATCTGAGTAATGGTTGCTAAAACCGACAGAGATACGGGTTTAGGCTTAGTCTGTACAAAATGAGGGTCAGCGTTAATTAGGCTCCGACCTTTAGGAAGGACCATAATTCGACGCCTGGAAGGACCATAATGTTAATAGATATAGATTCCAAATGGTCCCACTAAAATTCCTAAATATTCTCCGAACCTGTCAATGGTTTTAATGTCGTATAAAAGTGTTGGTGGTTAAAAAGGATTGTTATTAAGGTAAAAATAAAATGAAATACTTTTTGTCATTTATGAAGTACTTATAGGTCTTTTCTTGGATTGGTACTCTGTAGATTGACTAACTGAAGAAAGACGAGCAAAAATCTAAGCAGACCTTTTTAAGATCCTATATTTTTGTTGTTTTTTTTTTTGTTAATCCTTCATGTCACAACGTCTGAAGGGATCAATATGAAATATAGTAATATTATATGTACATACATAGTTTAATGAAATATGGTACAGGGTTTTTTAAGGGGAGATAATCGTCGAATTTCTTCCCCCACCATAATGTCCGACTCTTAATGACTAAAAACCACCCCGTTCCTACCCCTGCACTTCGAGCCGGATCCCCATTAACCATTTACTTTCGCCAATAATTTAATAGTGGTAGATTATTGCCTGGAAGGAGCTAGTCTTTATAAAACTTTAAATTATTATTATTATCATGGTCGTCTTCAGAGCATAGGCCACTACAATGACGTAATCTATATAAAGCCAATTCAAAGGTTTAATTTTAGTTAAGTATGGGAGGGTGTTGAAAATCAACGCCATGGACTCGAGCCTTCGTGCCCAGGCCACAGCATTAAGCTGGGCTCCGGTCTTTTGCACTGCGACGCACTTTGCGCTTTTTATGTGTACCTGTATTATTGTCTATGTGTGTGACGTGGCGTAATAAATAGTTCTACCCATATATCCCCAAGCGGTCACCGGTAACCGCTCTCCACTAACTACATTATAGACATTATTTCCAATATTTAGAGACTACTTTTGTACGAACAAATTTAGGGAATGATTTTCAACGGATTAATTATTTCTTTCTTAAAATTTTTGCGTAAGATATTTAATCAAAAGACCTTCAACTCACCGTCTAATGAGTCCTCTAGCTAATTCCCAGAACGGCATCTTATGTGACTTGGTGCCGCCCATGGTGATCATGAGGATGTCGCTGCCACACGCTGACGCAGCCAGCAGTATCGGGAGACAGAGGAACGGCCATCTCGACCTATGCTGAGAACAAGAGAAAAGATTTTGGTAAATCTTATGTTTCCTTTTCAACTAAGTAACAATAGGTTGCGTGTAGGAGAGCTCTTCGGAAAGAATGGACCGGCTCGACCGGATTGATACCACGGCCACAGAGAAAACCGACGTGAAACACCGCTTGCTTTGTGTTTCATCCCGTGAGTGAACCTACCGAAAGTCCAATTTCCTCCCTCCCTAATCTCCCCAAATCCCGAATTCTCAGCAATCCTCTAATTTCTACTCCTCAAAAGGCTGGCAACGCACTTGTAACGCCACTGGTGTTTCGGGTGTCCCTGGGCGTCACCATCAGCCGATTGCTTACTATCAGGTGATTCCTATATTTCTTCATCGGCTTATCCCATAGAAAACTTAAAAGGTACTGAGAATTCAGGGTATGTAATATCCAGACTGTTAACCGTCAAAGAGGTTAATAAATTAAGGTTAAACATGTACCTCGCGTCTGTATATATAAGTTAGGTACTCTATTATATACCTAATGTCAATTTTTATTAGACTTAATTCTAAACCCTACCTAGTCACAATTTTGTATAATCTATACCTCTTTTTTTTGTCACTGCATCACCCAAAAGTTTGGATGGAAAATAATGCCCATTATTCTAAGCACCCTAATACATAACATAATTTTGTACAGCAATTCTCAAATAAATAAATCAGTTTATACCTTCAGAACAATATAAATATCTTTTTTATCTACTGTATATTCAGAACATGAAAACAACAATAAACACGGTTCACCCTGGCTATCTACTTGGTATGCGTATTGAATACGTACGTACACGTATGTATGTACATACATTGTATATCCTTAGTGTAAGCACATAATAATCACTTAATTGTCAAAGTTGTAAGACCCGCCATTTCTGGGGCACAAATGTCTTCATATCCCAAACTTCCCAAACGCCATATCCATAATTTATAGAGTAAGGGTAGACAGAAGTGTACTGCGATGTTTCCTATAGAAATATCGACGCTCCCTATAAAATCATCAAACGATTCCAGAACAAAACTAAGGAGTGTGTGATTTTCATCCAATGAAATCCACCACTTTGGCCACCTATAGAGGGCACCAAGTCTTCTATAATAGACCTGCTCGGGAGCCTTCCAATCCTACATATACAAGAATAACTAAGCATCTATGAAAATAGCATCAAAGATCGGTTTAGTAATTTTTAATGGCACCGTGACCATACATAATTGTAGAAGTCTTCCTCTAATACGCGAATGAAACTCAAACTATTGTTATGTACATCGACTTCTGTAACTTCTAAACCAATACAACTTGGCATGTTGGGATCTTAGTCTCTATAATAATATTTGCTCTTGTGGCTAAGTTCACATATCAAAAGTTTTAATTAAGTTTCTTCATAAAGTACTAAGTTTAATAAACAAGTTAGTTTTAGTTTTCAAGCATTTTATGGCTTGCATTTTAAACCCTCTGTGAAATATGAAGCTCTAAATATGCACGAAAATTTGTAGTTCTATCAAAGTTTAATTAAATAATATACTTTAAAATTTAAAGTGTCTTGTATCGGAGTATAGGACGTTGAATTGACCCCTTGATTTAAACATAGTTCAGTATAGTTTACAATTTATTCGTAAATTGTAAACTATACTGAAAAATATGTTGGAGGAAAAGTATGGGAGAGCCATGCTTCGGCACGAATGGGCCGGCTCAACGAGTGACACCACGGCCTCACAGAAAACAGACGTTAAACAACGCTTACGTTGTGTTTCGTCGTGTGAGTGAGGTTACCAGAGGCCCAATTACCCCCTTCCCCAGTCTCCCCAATCCCCGAATCCGCTACAATCCTCAAATTCCTAATTCCCAAAAGGCCGGTAACGCACTTGTAACGCCTCTGGTTTTTCGGGTCCATGGGCGACGCCGATTGCTTACCATCAGGTTATCCGTCTGCCCGTTTACCGACTTATTCCATAAAAAAATACTGAAAACCTAATAAGAATAGACATAGTCCTAACTACTTAAGTAGGTAGTTAGAATGCTTGGAAAAGAGGTTTCATGTAAAGAGTGTATCACAAATTTATACAAAGTTAGTAAAAGAACAAAAACAACACATTAATAGTCACTGCTATATCGACTTACTCTCTCATAAAAAGAAATAATAAATCAGTTCCCAGAACACTACCACACGCAATTACCTGACATTGTAACCTTGTCTATTTTTACTCACATGTGAGTGCAGTTAATCGATTGACTTGATGAACAATCGATACCTCTTTTTACCTCCATGAACTATGCATAGGCGAACGTCATGAACTTATAAATATGCTCCTGCTCTTCTCTATATGACTAATATGTAAATACTGTCATAATAAGAATTAAAAAAATTACTCAGGCACAAAGACGTTCGGGCTAGTGGCCACTTGATCGATTTTCGTAAAACTCGATATATAGATAGTTTGAAATTGTAACCCATGGGTGCATTTGTGCATTACAGCCTAGCCCGTTGAAATTCATCCCCTAAATTTGTTCTTACAAAAGTAGTCTCTAAACATTGGAATTAAGGTCTATAATGTAGTTAGTGGAGAGCGGTCACCGATGACCGCTTGGGGATGTATGGGCTAGATTTTACGGGTACATAATTATTGTCATTGAATAATTAGATGTTATTGACTCCGTAATATTACTGTTAGAGATAATATTAGGTACTATTTTAGCGAAAAATCGATTTAGATGTATCACTATCACTACATTGTATAAAACTAAGCCGCTATCCGCCGTCTCTCTGTCCCTAAGTATGCTCAGATCTTTAAAATTGCACCCGTGTGAAGCCGGGACGGGTCGCTAGTCTAGTAATAAATCGAAAATTAAAATTTATTCAATTACGATACGTATGCATTGATGTCAATAGCACAAACAATTATTTCTCACGGCATTGAGTACACAAAACATACGACACATGCATAGTTAGTATAAACTTTAATATAAGCAAACTAGGCATTCATTAGCCAATGATATACGAGTTGGTAAATAAACCAATAGTTATGACAACAGTCCGTTAAATGTGCAGAATTATGATTTAGAATGCAGTGAATTATCAGTGCAACTGTAAGATAAAGATGTATTCACAGTGGTGTGAAATTCAAACAAATTATATTTTAAAATTTTGGCTTAATGAATTTACAAAAAGATTGTTTCTAACCAGTCGATCTGTAATTCATCAGGCTTATAACATAACGCACATAACACATAACATCACGCCTTTTATCCTCTAAGGGGTGGGCAGAGGTGCACATTATACCACTGTACAATGTAACACCCACTTTTCACTATTTATGTTATGAGTCCCATGTAATAGGGGGTGAGCCTATTGCCATATACCGGGCACAGTTTCATTCTCCGTGCTACTACTGAGATTTTTTTAAAAACCCAGTAATACTTTGCCCGACCCGGGAATCGAACCCGAAACCCCTTACCCGGCAGTCGCAATTGCGACCACTCGGCCAACGAGGCAGTCATCAGGCTTATAATGAATAATAAAATTATAATAATGACATTTTTTTGTTGAGAAGTTTTGAAGGTAAGAATAGCAAATAGACCAATTCTTAGTATGCCACGACTAAGGGTAACTAAGGTCCACATTGAGGTATTTGACGAATGCATGCATTCTTCATAAATATAGGTAGCCTTAAATGATTAATGCTTGCATCTTCCTTACAAACAATGACAACTGCCTACAAAGCTGTACGGTCAAGTCTATAAAGCTAAATTAAGGTTAAATTAAGCCTAAAACATGCTAAAATTGCCTTACTTCGTCTCCCCAGAGCGATTATCCAAAAATGCCAACCTTGTTATTCCAGAGAACTAATCCTTCTAAGAATGCAATGTCTGAATTTGAATACAATAGTTTATACCCAATTTCTGGAAATTTATAATTCAGTACGTATCAAATCCATGTTGAACTTTGTATTTTCAGTGTGTTAGTTCGAATCACAAGTAAAGGAAAGATAATACATACATAACATCACGGCTTTTATCCCCGAAGGGGTAGGCAAATTATGCCACTGTACTTACAATGTAACTCCCACTTTTAACTATTTATGTTATGTATCCCATGTAATAGGAGGTGAGCCAATTGCCATATACCGGGCACAATTCCAGACTCCATGCTACTACTGAGAATTTTTTAGAACCCAGTAATCAGTATATTCACGTGAGTAACCTGCGATTTTACTTAATTTAGTATGTCTAATGATAGTTATTATAAAAACCCAGTAATATTTTGGCCGACCCGGGAATCGAAAACGAGACCCTTTGCCCGGCTGTCGCACTTGCGACCACTCGGCCAACGAGGCAGTCGATATAATACATGAGTACTAGAGGTATATAAATTATTACTCAAGAGATAATAGAAATCTAGACCGTTAACCCATAAATATTTAAATCAAAAAGTCGAAAATTGTAATGCACCTAATCTAGACTGAACAAACAAGGTAATTAAACGAATTTCTTAAACGTCTCAGTTTTAATGAATTAAAGATGCAATAAGTAATGCAATGCAAGGGGAAAAAATAGTAAAAAATATATCTTAAATTTTTTCCTAAGCGCTTGTCCATTGAGAAATATTTCTAGAAAATGGTTACTCCAATGTTTATTACTTTTTAAAAACATGTCGTAATGTGGAACGCAACAAAATGATCGTCCGATGTCTTCGTTGTTACGACATGGAGTTACCTGCACTTTGTTTTTACATAACTATTTAATTTGTAGCTGATTTGATTTATGGGAATAAACGAGTGCGTTTGGCCAATTAAGTTATATATACATAGGTTCTTTTGATAGTAAGTAAATGTTACTTAAGTAGTTAAGTACAAGAAGTAAGTTCCAAATAGTGTTGCCCAAATGCAAGAACAAGACGAGACTTAGCCAGTCTTGGTCTTGGTCTTGCGCCAATACACCTGGTCTTGGTCTTGGTCTTGGTCTTGCGCTCCCAGTCTTGGTCTTGGTC